TTTATTTTTGTTTCACTTATATGTGTTGTGAATAGAAGTTGCGTTTTCATTCTCGGACATTCATATGTGTGTGCACGGTGTGAATCAAATATTCAGCATGTGCGCTATCCAAAGTAATGAATAGTTCTCTGCTGACATGCATATTCGTTGATATATAGACACATATGCGCGAGTGAATCGAGCGAGAGAAAAAGAAACAGAGCATTCCCTACATTCTTGGACAGTTTTCTTCGCCGCTTTTGTTTTCGTCTCGATATACTTTTTATTTCACATTTCTCTCCATCTCTCTCTGTGTATTGTTTTGTATGAATGTGTGTGAGCTCGTTTGAGTTTCGATGCCTTGCCATTTTACATTTCTTCGAATAGATATTTGCTTATCGCTGAATTTTTAGCTAGCTTCAGCCAACTCGAGTACATTGCACATTATGCCATACTCGTTGTTTCTTCGTCTTGTGGTTTTTATTTGCACGAAAGCGATTTTAATGCTATGATCGTTTGGACACATACACACCGCATGCATACATGCAATTGAACTCATTTGCTGCACATGCACTTTTAATAACTAGTGCACGAAATGTTGAATGGATTTAAATGAGCGCTACCTTTTGGCTGTAATGTTCCTTTGGGTCTATCACTCACTTTACTTTACCTGATTTGTTTGTTTGTTATGTTACTTCTCTTCGAATCGATTTGTGAAGTGTGGTGGCTATGATGAGAATCACACACAGCGCCAATAGGTTGATGCCTGTGTGAACTGCATAAATGTCGCAATTTTTCCATTTAAATATTAATCATTTTCGACTACCTTCTCTGAAACCCAAATGAAAAACAGAGCCAAATGGTGTCTGGCTTTCGAATCTCGACAACAAAATGGCCAATGATTTATTATTAGTCAGACACCTGCATGTTATTTTATTTTTCATAAGTTTTATTTCAGTTTCTAACCACTAGTTCCGAAAGCAACGTTTTGCATACGAGTCATTCTCAGTGCCAATGCCATTGATTAGAAAATTTATTGGAATTTCTGTGCAGCAATTTGACATTTTAGCTATTTGTCACAGTGAAAATCCATAGAATTTGTGTGTTATTTTCAGAATTGGTTTTTTTTGTTGTTCCTTAATCCCATTCGAAACTATTTGCCGTGTAGGAAATAATTTCGCACTTGCATGATAGCTGAAAAAAAGGCAAACAAGTTATAATCATGGTATGAAGAATTCGCACAGAATCGAAAATGGCTATGGCATGAATTCACACATTCATCGTTTGTGGATGCAGGTCAATAAAAAAGCTAATGTGGCATTTGTCATGTTGTACGGCAATTGAACAAAAATATGCTCTGCTCTGATCTTATCCCACCATTCATGATCGCTATTGAAAATACCACGCGCATCGCACACAGAATGAATGAGTGTGTATGTGTATGTGTATGTGTGGCTGCTTTGCATTGCATACGACATCTTTTGCCCATATATTTACCGCAATCGTTGTGAGTTAGTCATTCCATTCATGGTTTCACAATGCATTGACAACAAGTCTTCCCTCGGTTGTACGTATTATTTATTATGACTTTATTTTACCCGTCGTTGATCTTTATTTGTTGTTCGCTTTTTTCACTCTCTCTCTCTCTCTCTCTCTCTCTCTCTCTCTCTCTCGATTCGCTCTTGTTGTGTTTACATCTCTCAATTTGGAAATGTTTTCATTTCTGTTGCGCAGACAATTTTACCGTCGTCCGACCTGAAGATTTTTGTGCTAAATGTTATTGAAAATCGACAATTCTTTTGAAACGTTGCGCACTCGGCTGTTGAGTGCAATGGCATTCAATTATGATAGATAGAATAACAACGAAGCTAATTTTTTTTATCTTCCTTTATATTTCACATTTCATTCAGTCGTGCATTGGCGCTCGGTTTTCGTTCCCTTTTCTTCATTTTAGCTTTGAGCTGTCTAAGTTTATGACACGAGGAGAGAGAGAGAGAGAGAGAAAGAAGAAAAAACAGCAACACATTATTACTAAACCGTGAAACAATTCGCTTTCTGATGGTGATGATGATGAATGGTATCAAATTCAATTAATGCCGTTCTTTGGTATGTGGTATGTGTTTTTGCGCAAAGTATGTGTTTTTGCGCGAGCGCACACTCGTAATCGAGAATCACAAGAGAAACAACAATCAAAACGAGTTCAGTTCAGGTTTGTGTTTATTTGGTGCCTGCTAGCTTTTGCATTAAGCTTTAATCTAATTTTTCATTCATTGTTATTTCACGTTGTATACAGAGGTGCACAATTTTTTTGTTTGGCTCTGAAGCCATGAATCATTGGATTATTTGGCGCAAAGATTCGCACGCACATTTCGGTATTCGTCTTAGTTGCGTTTGGTCTTGTACATTACCGATTCCATTCAATGATTTTCAATTCAATGCAATTCAATTTATATTCGGCCTGGGAAGTGTTTTTTCCTTCTCTCCATCTTTCGTTGTCCCCTTTTGTACTTGATCATAAACAGTGTGGTTATTGCATTACCGTTTTGTCGGTCTTTCGGTTTTTCTGTGTTTTTAGCACTACTTGGCCACTGATCTGGTTTTTTTTTTCTAAGAAATTTTCAAGACTATTTAGGAGAATTTTTAGGACTGAATTAGGACTAATTAATTTGGTTATCTATATAACATTTTTTTAAATAAATCAATTACGCCTATTTTCAAAAATGGAATAAAACCAAGATGTAGTAATTCATTTTTAAGATAACTGAGGGGAAAAACATTTCTGTTTTTTTTATACTATTTGCAAATATATATTTTTATTAGTATGGTGGTTTTAATCTGCAGCTTTATTAAAAGGGACTTATTTTTTGACACATTACTGCAAACTTATTTCAACGGACACATTCCATGTAGTGCGTGAAAAAAATAATTTTTTCTGGAAAAACAAATCAGTTTAAATATATGAAATAAACAAACTTTAAGAACGCAGAGCGGAGCAAAGTGACACCCTGTGGTCTTGTTTTCTCTCTCTTGCCAATGGTATTGTATGCTCATCGACCGACCAAACTGCCAAATAAATGTGACAAAGCAATGGAACCAGCACAATAGCAATAGCAACAGCATTAGCATCAGCATCAGCTTGCATAGCCGCAGCAGCAACAATCAAATCGGTTAATTTTATGAGTCGCCAGTGCATACCGAAAATGGAATACGTCAAAAAAAATTGACCTTGACGCAACACACGCTTTTATGTGGGTTAATTTTTTCAATAATAAAAACAGGCACTTTTTTTATTCCAGCGTTGGCATAAAAAAAAAACAATTCGTCGTTTCAGTCGTCGCAGTAATCCGGACGTTTCCAAAAATTTGAGTAATTTGCTTGAATTCGCTATAAACAAGAAAATCAATCACAAAGTGAATGGACACACATTTTGCATTGAACGAACCACAGCCGAATGAAATTAATTTGCACACATTTTC